ATGTTTTTATATAATTATAAAAATGGTATTTCAGAATTAACCCAAGATTACTGCAGGTGGGAAATTCTATATTTGTGCTTTATGACAAACTAATTAGCTTACTATAATGACAGTATGTATCGAGGTTATAGTTCACTAAAACTAAAAACTAGATGTGAAAAAAAGCTTTACTTAACTAAAATAAAATTTAAAAAAAAATAGACTTGAAAAAATTAGAGCTGCAAAAAATAAAAAAATAAAAAAATAATAATAATGACAGCATTCCTGATGAGGCACTAAAGTATGTGTTTTTTGAGACTACAAAACTTTGAGTCAGCTGCTTTTAGCAAGTTTTGTGGGGTTCTCTGTACTGATTTTCCTAAATCTTGCTTCAGGGTCTGGAAACTCACAAGCTAAACTAAATTCATAAGAAAAAGTCAAAAAGACACGTTTTGAAGGACGACCTCTGCGTCAAAGATTTGGCAGTGGGACTGAAGTTGTTTGAGTCTGTGAAACTAGACTGCAGTCATTCAGGAAATAGCCAGGGCCCATAGGGCTGCTTTACACAGCATAACACAGTGAAATGTAGGAATTCTTGTATTACAATAACAACAAATGACCTTACTCTAATTGTTTAGATTCTTGGGCATGTTTTCCCACCAAAATGCCATGCCATCAGAGATTTAATGAACTAAATTCAAGTGAGTGTGTTGAGAGAGAGGGGAGGAAGAGGAGGCTGTGGATCCTAATGACATCCCCTGACACTGCAACGGACATAATTACAGGTTTGTGTGTGTGTGTGTGTGTGTGTGTGTGTGTGTGTGTGTGTGTGTGTGTGTGTGGCTGCGGCACTGAGCAACAAATGTTCTCACCTGCACATCCTGGTGTGTGTACATGTTGGTGTTTGTGTGTGTGCAAGTGTGTGACAGCAGACTGATGTGATGAGTCTATCGCCGTGGAAACAGCCTGCAGCCAAGTGATTTTGCTGCTGTAGACATCTCTGTCTTCTCCCCTTTGTCTCGTCCACTTCTCTTTTTTCCCCTTCACTCGTTTCATTTGCTTCACATTTTCTCCGAGCAAATCCAAAACATGACGAAAACCTCGAGTTCCCACAACTTCAAATGGCTATTTCTGTCTATACAAAACACAAAAACTCTATAATAAAACAATAAAACCCACAAAATCATCTTACTAAGTATCTGAAGTAAAATGTAATATTGCACATGCCCATGTGCAATATTACATTTTTTCCTGACATGAGCTAAACAATTACAGTACCACTGCTCACCATAAAGCTCCATATAAAGCTGTAAGACTGAACATAAAAACACTGCACATTAAGTCAGTATGTGTTAGTGTAAGTGTAGTCTGTATGTGCATGAACAGCTCTGATGGTTGATGGGATGAGCCTAAATTAATCCTAATTACATCTTCAGTCTGCCTTAAACCGTTTGTTCCCCTCTCTGGGCTCTGTATGATGTCACACAGAGCAGATATTCACTGAATGGTCACCTTGGGGACACAGCTCAATTGCAAATATGTAAAATATGCTGGAGCTAAAACCGATAACACAAACAGAAGATGAATTAGAGGGCTGCACTGAGTTCTACTATAAGATGGATAAAGGAATAATTCAAACTACTCTGGTAGAGTCAAAGTATAAAAACATAGAGATGGAAATAAGCGTCACAGAGTGAAATCAGCAGTGCAGCTCCATCGAGTTAGTGTCATGTTTTTTTTTTTTGGTAAAAGTTTCGTGAAGCTGCACAGAGCACACGAGGAAAACAGGAAGTCATGGACAGAAATGACAGACCGCATGCAGACAAAATGTTCCACTCTGTGCAGACTCACAATTTGTGAATTCTTGAGGTAAAACCCGTTTGCCAACTTTTAACATGAAGCAACGGAAATCATACACACATGTAGGGCTGTTCGATATAACGAAATATATCGGATGACGATATAAAAACATCTATCGTTTTGTTTTACGCTATCGTTTGTTTCGTGGTGTCGCAAAATAAACGTTTACGGCAATATTTTTTCATCGTTTTGATGGTGACTGTAGTGGCTATATTAATTTCTCTTAAGTTCTCTCTTTCTCTTATATTTAATATAACCACACTACTGACAGACAAGCGCCTGTTTTTATGTGAAGTCTTTAGCAACAACGACAGTAAAACCATCGCGTGTCCGCTTGTTTATTTTCCACATAAACCTTTCATAATAAAGCTCAAGATCCTGTTGAGACGTTTCAAAAGAAACTGAATCACGTGAAAGAGTATGCAGAGTCGTTACGAATGAGAAGCAAAAAAGAGCCGTCAGGTGCTAAAAAAATAAACCTCAGACTCAATAGTTAGAACAGGCTTTTCCCCGCAGCATGCTGTGTAATAAATACTCAAAGAAAACGGCGGCCGTTACAACTTATGTCTAAAAATATTCAGTTTCATGCATCGGTTAAAACGCTCAACTCCAGGTACACGACGCTCAGCTGGAAACACTTCACGCAAGTCGAGCTGCCCGAGATTCACAGAATTTACAGAAAATGTTACATTTTTGTGATTTATATCGTTATCGGACAATGGATGTATATGATTATATCGGGATATGAGATTTTGGTCTCATCGCACAGCCCTACACACATCATTTTTCATATGAACCCATTCAAATTATAACTGCAATTTCGGTACATGGTAATGTTAAATACCGTGTAGAAATCCAAGTAGTGAGTTTATATACACTGAAAATATTTATATGACAGGTTTCCAAATGGAGAGTGCGTTCATTCATAACAATGTTAAAAAGTTCAATTATAAAAACCACAAAAGAAACAAAGAGGCAAAAGTTCTTCCTCCACAGAAGAATAAGGTTCAGGTTGCTCTGTGTTTGAGGTTTCTGCTAACAGATTTAATCCTGCAGAGACCGAATGAAAAGAGAAAAAAAAAAAAACAAAAACCCCACAGCTGTCAATAAGAGAAAAACGAGCTGAGAGAAATGATAAATTGTCAGACACATCTGTGATATTGACTGGTCTGAGAGAAGGATGGAGGATGGAGGGAAGAGGAAAAAAGGTGGTGCAGACAGTGAGACAGCGTTAGGCACTGGTTTTTTTTCTTTATTACAGAAATGAATGTCTTTAAAATATTTAGACAAATGAGTCAATCCTGCTTTATTGTTCTGTGATTCTGGATGCAAAAACTGCTGATGTGTAGGAAGAAAAATAGAAATGCAGTGCTTAAATGTGTTTATCTTAGAGTGGAGAATCGTTCTATGTGTGTGTCTGTCACAGTTAAACATTCAGGGTATATGTGGCAAGGATAAATGGACTGGAAAGTGTGTGCATGTGTGTTTTTCTACCTGTACTGCAGGTGTGAGTCGTTTCCTGGGGAGAAGTGCTTCTCACCTTACTGTGTGTGTGTGTGTGTGTGTGTGTGTGTGTGTGTGTGTGTGTGTGTGTGTGTGTGTGTGTGTGTGTGCTACACTAAACTGCTTTTAACACCATGCAGGTCACAGTACACGGGTATTACATGCAGGCATTGATTAGGACATGCGTGCACACAAACACTAATGCTTATCCTCCACTCAGAGTCAGCAGAGCAAAACACCTGAATTCAGCTGGAGATAAATAATAAATGACTTCTTCATGTTTTTTTGGAATCAAACCAGATGAGACTTCTCAGGTCACGGAGGGGAAAAATGAGCCCTTAATTGTAATCCTCAAACACCGGAGAGGTTCACGAAGAACAGAAGAAAGTCTGAAGAGGTTAAAGCTACAGCATCGTATGAAATGGGTTTCAGCTTGTGATCATGGGACAAAGCAGGGATGCTTCAAGAGACTTGAATTTCCTTGTCAAATATTGCGTGGGTATTTGCTGAAATTTTAATCTGCACACACAAGATTCACATTAGATTGCAGAGTGTGGTCACTGTTCTTTCTTTCCTTGGAGGTCAGCATCCACACGGCAACTCGTTGGCTGATTATGGCTGACTTCACATCACAGAGAGATAGCTAGGCTGCTGGTTTTTTAGGACAGTGTTCAGAGTTTTGCTCAGAAAGCAGCTGGACGTTCTAGACAAAACTGTCACTGCCTTCTAAACTACGACTGCAGCAATATGCTAGTGACCAAAGCAATCAGCAACTTTTAACAACTGGAATAAACGGTAGATGCACTTGGTCTTATACAGTCCTGTTCTACTCTAATTGAGCACTCATGCCAATGAACGAATTGCAGAGCATAGTGGTGTTCAGTATCATGCCCAAGGATACTGTGGCATGCAGAGATTGAACCACCAACCCTCCAGTTACTAGATGACCCTCCTCTTCCTTCCTGAGCCCAATGCAGTCTCATGACCAGTGGTTGCCAGATGATTGCAGACCAGTCGTACCTGTGCAACTGGATCCTGATCCACTTTATCCAACATTGTCACTACACATGACTGCAAAACCTCAATAAGTAGCTGAGCAGTAGTAACTTTCCTTCTTTCTTTTTCTCTCATCTATATCATTTGGCTAAGAATTACACTTTGGATCTCTGCGTTTAAATAAATGAATGGCCTGGTCTTCACAATTCACAAAAAAACCCAACAAGCGAGGCCGCGAAAGGTGAACTGCGATATAGTGAGGGAACACTGTACCCTGTGTGTACCCACTTAAATAGACACAGTAGGCTATTATTAAAATTATTAACTTCTACAGTTACAAAGCCCATCACATCAAAAATTGGAAACCTGGCCCACTCCCAGTATACCATAAGAAAAATGAGCTTTACCAACTAAAATTTCTGGTTCCAGCTAGCAGTGAAAGCATTCAAAGCATTTATTTTTAGATGTTTACAGTCAGTCTAAGGCAACTTGATGAGTGTGGGAACAACCAATTCAAACCACGACCAACCAAGTTGCAGCTCTACAGTTTCTATTATTTACTCCTGAGATGGGTAAAAAAAACCAAAAAAACAAAGAATACCAAAGAAGTGTGCGTACTTTAATCCTATTTTCCCTGCTTAGAAAGAAATTTGTGCTCTTACCTGCTGTGATGTCATCATCAGTGACATCCATTTCCTCCTCAGGAGCCTTGGTTTCTACTGGCTGAGCCTCTGGTGGCGGCAGGGCTGGAGGGGGAGTGTCGGTGGTTGTTCCAGCTGAGGAGAAAGAGACAAAACTGTTCAGTGCAGTCCGTCCAACGAGCACAACCCAGGTTACTATTATAGATATAATTTACACATCTCCCCTCAGTGCATCATAGCAATTATAAAGTGCATGCAGTTTGATAATTTAACCATTAAAAACTACCCCACTGGATTCAGAAAAAAAATGTTTCTATTAAATTTAGGCAGTAAAAAGTACCCCAGTAGAATGTAGTTTACTGCTCAAATCTTTTAGATTAAGCCAATAAGATGAATTTGTCAATAAAATTTACTGTGACAGATTTAAGTAATAAAAACTACTCTGATAGATTTACACAGAAAAACTATGCAATTACTCAGTAAAAACTACGCAGATAGATTTAAGCAGTAAACCAAACCCTATTAGATGTAGTCAATAATAACTACACCACTAGATTTAATCAATAAAAACTACTTTGACAGAAACCAGTTGAATTAAGTTAGTTTCATGTCTGTGAACGTGACCGAACAGGTTATTCGTGACCATTTCACATTGTGCCATGAGATCAGGCTCACTGATGTCACCGACCATCAGCGTAATGGTTTGAATGTCTGTATGTCAGGATGCTCTCCACTGCGAGTTTCTGTTCTGGTCCTCATTGTTGTTATGATCAAGTTAACTGCTCTGGTTAAGCAGCAAATAAAGGCTTATTGGATGTCCTCGTATAAGCAGAATGAATAGAAACACACGGACACACACAAGGACAGGGACACGCTTTTATTTAGCGTTTTCATTTAGCTCTTATCTCTCTGTTGGCAATTAAGAGTGGCTTTTCATTAGCGGCCGGCACTAATGAATGACACTGTGCTAATGAATGAAGCAGCTTAAGGTAACAGAGTCGGCACAGGGCTAATCTCTGGGAAAACAGCCTGCTTAATGAATTACAGAGACGCAACCACAAAACGCTTATCAAAAACGAAGAAAGCAAAAACAAAGAAATATATTCCTCTGCCTTTTTTTTTAAAGAAAAAAAAATGTAATTAACAAAAAAAGAAAAAGTTAAATGGCACAGTTTCATAAGGCTTCTTCAGTACACCAATAAAATTAACTGTAATTACACTGTGTGTAATTACATTGATTAATCCAGGTTAACATGTGCTTCATGTTCCAATTAACCTGCTCACACACACAGCTGACAGCTCAACATAATGACTTCGTATCACACCCACACACACACACACGGTGACAGAAGGCCAATACACAGCCCGGCAGTTGATTACCTGTCTCTGACATTAAAGTGATAAAAACTTAATTGGATTTAATTAAAACATAACTGATGTTTTACTGTGAATGAACAAAAGGCCTGCGGAGAGCGAAAAACCCCAAAACAACCCTCGCTTCAGTTTCTATTTGCATGTTTCCCTCTCTGAGCAGGCGGTTTCACGCCACAGATAATGGTGGTTACATCCATCTTTTATATACAGTCTGTGACCCTCGAGGCTGCTGCTTGGCCTGAAGGTGGCCCAGTTCTCGTGTTCTGCATCTCCAGCACACACATCGTGCACACCAGCTGGGCTATAACCTCCAACTTAACTGTCCTGGTTGGAAGAATGAAAATGAGAGATACAAGAGCTGAGGGAGAAGAAGAAAGAGGAGGAGAGGGAAGTGGAGGAGGGGTGGCGAAGGAGGGGAGGAAAAGGAGGGGAGAAGAAGGAGGGGAGGAGAAGGAGGCGTTCTGCCCTGCTCCAAGGTCAAGCTTGTCATGTCAGCCATGACACATTGCTCCCAGCATGCCTTGTTAACCTCCAGGACCTCCTCCTCCTTGTCCTCCTTCTCTTCGTTTCTTCTGACTGTTGCTCCCTGTATTCATGTTTGAGACCCACACTTCCTGTTCTTCTCCTGTTTCCCAACCTCTACTGCTCTTTCACTATAGTTTTAAATCATCAGGAGAGATTCATCTAAAGGACTCACATAAGGATGACTGGAATATTTTTAGTTCAGATCTGTCTTATATAAGATGATGCAAGGGAGTTTCATCTTCAGCCTCTATTGTTGTACTGTAGTCCTGATATTTTAACTTTGCACTACAATGTTTCTGCTTGCTTGATTCTGTGTTTTAGACATAAGAAGAAAAGGAAGAGAGGAAAAAAGGTTTGAAGAGATGAGAGATGAAGAGAAATGGAATGGATGATTGAGGCACTAAAACCTACTCCAGTAAATTTAGGAACTACTATGTCAGATTTAGTCGATAAAGACTACTCCATTAGATTAAGGGACTGAAAACTACTCTTAGATTTAGGAAGTAAAAACTACTCTTTACTTCCTAAGTCTAATTGAGTAATCTGTTAGATTTAGGAAGTAAAGACTACTCCGTTAGATTATGGGACTAAAAACCACTCACTACTCACTAAATCTAACCAAGCTGCTACTTGGTTAGATTTAGGCAATATTACTGACCATCTTTAGGGACTAAAAATTTGTGAATTACATGTAGGAAACGATCATGATTTTTGATGATTTTTAGACACTTTCATGCTCTTGAACATGAAGAAACAGGGTTTTCAGTGTGACTATTTACAGAAAAGCTGGGAAAAATGTGTAGGAAAGGATGAAGGAAAAAAGGGAAGACGCAAGAAAGAGGGGGGAGAGGGAGACTTTGAACAGCAGGTTGATTGGAGTTAAAAAAAAAAAAGTAACAATCTGGATGTTCGAGGTAGACTGAGAAGCAACAACGGAGAAAAGCAAGAGAGAAAAGGGGGAAACGGAGTGCTCTTCAGTGATCAAAGAAACAGCTGCTTCACATATCCACCATTTGACCCTGAAAATTGCATGACAAGGAACAAAGCTCAGGGACTTTGGTTAATGAAGTGTGTGTGAATATGAGAGCTGTGTGTGTGTGTGTGTGTGTGTGTGTGTGTGTGTGTGTGTGTGTGGTCCCTCAGTACCCTTCCTCACAGCTCCTGTAGCTATGAAAGACCTGTTTTCAGTTTTTGTTTTGTTTGTTTGTTTTAATTGTTAACAGCAGCTTTGCCACTCATGGCTTTCCAGATATAACCAGACCTCCCGTCTGCAGGTAAACAGCTCCATGCAGCCACTTTCTGATGATAAAACTACTTTCCCAAAACAATGTGCTGCTCCACACCATCACAGCAGTGATGATGGAGACTCTGTGGACAGTTCATTTCTTCCTCTGAGTGGAGGTTAACAGCCCCCGTTTTCTCCGTGTTAAAGCCTTTTAAACACTTCCAGGAGAGCTGAAAGGTCAGGCGCGGCTGCTGCTGTTTGTGTGTGTGTTGTCAAGTTGGCTCCCTGCTGCGACGGAGGGACTCGGCTCAGTGACATTTCTTCTGCACTTAAGCCTAACAGATAAATACAGGCGACTCTCTACCACACTGGTCAGATAGCACAGGTCTCACTAAAGGTCTCATCCCACCCTCGTGCACTCTGACAGTTTGGTCAGAAACATACACACGAGTAACCTACTGAGATAATTTTCATGGTAGGGGTGGTCATAGCCATCCAAATAGCAATAACATGGATAGTAGCTGATATTGTCAGCTACTATCGTGTCCTCTCGTTTCCAAAATAGTTAGATTTTGTCTCTAGGACAAACGGTAAACGACTTATGGTAATTGATGAAAAACACTCAGACCCAAATTTCTGAGATGTGTTCTGCTGAAGGTGCTGGTCAGCATCTTTACATCTTTACTAACAGTAGAAAATCATTTAATCAGTTAATCAATGGGTTTTGTGCAGAGAAAAAAGTTTGGGTTTTAAGTTGCGGTAATTACTGTAAACCAAAGACTGATCCAAGAAGAGCCTCAGGGTTCAGAGGACGTCTCCAGAGGATTCAAACACATCTCCGACTGTCCCCTGGAGATCCAGGATTTCCAGGACCAGCAGGAGTCATCTTTCTGCCTTTTCCAGTCCTGCTATGCAGCACACAGCTCAAATTCAATGACCCTTTAACCTCCTTTTCCACCCGCCTCCATTCTCCCTCATCCCTGGAGGTCACCAGTCCATCACTCCCCTACACATAGGCACCACCCCTGCCTGCGGTACTGCTGTGGTAACACAACACTGACCGGTGCCCGTTTCCACGGCAACTGTTCCCCCGAGAAACCCTTAGCATCCTCAGCAACCACAGGGCGACTCCTGAACACACACACACACACACACACACACACACACACACACACACTGCATTTTAGAGCGCCGTTTCTAGTAAAAGAACGTAGAGATTCACCTTTCTTCCCATCAGCAGGTCTAACTATAGACAGAGAGGGAGACCAGGGAATAGACAGAGCCGGAGACAGAGTGGCAAAGCAAGAGAGACGGCGGTAAAGAGAGACGGCACTGACAGCTGCAGAAAGAAATCACCAATCAGAGTGGTTTGTGCGCAGCTATTGTGAGATATTCGTTAAAAATTTAGATGAGCTGGACAATGCTATACACGGCTTTAAAAGTCATCTTAACATATTAACAAGACTAAAAAAAAAAGAAAAAAGAAACTGAGGTTGGTCCTTGGTTCAGCCTCCAAGTTCATTTTGTCTGAAACAGGCTACTTTAGCTTCCTTATAGTTCTCTACGACATTACAGAGAGCCAAGAGTGAAGGAGACGGAATACCTTTATTTCCCTTTTTTGTTTTTAGAAATTCTGCTAGGAAACTGCTGTGGATATTTTTTTAGTAGTAGTTTAGTAGTAAAATTGGTAGTAGTACTAATTTTTTAGTAGTAGTAACCAATACTGATACAAATACCTCGAACTTATAAAGGCACCTTATAAAAGGGACCGCATCATATCACGATTGATTTGATTAGCACACAAAGTGATACTTACGGGAGCTGACTGTGTCGACATACTGGGGCAGGTATGGAGCCCACATGTCAATGGTTTCTTTGCGTCCTGACTGGCCGATCCTCCTCAGTTCAGCCAAGAGAAGAGCTTGGGCTGCTTCTCGTACCTGAAACCACAAACACACTAAATCACTGTGAATTAAAAACAATATCACATGTTATTATTTACCGTATTTTCCGCACTATAAAGCGCACTTAAAATCCTTTAATTTTCTCAAAAATCGACAGTGCGCCTTATAATCCTGTGCGCCTTGTGTATGAATTCTGGTTGACTTGACCTCGAACAGATTTTATGTAGCACACGGCGCTCAAACATCTGTCAAAAAAAATGTTTTAGTACGACTTTGGTAAGCTACGAAGCCGCACCGCTTGATGGATTGTCGGAGCATTACAACTACCATAGTCAGGAGCCTTGCAGAGTAATCTGGGTCCAAAACTGTCTGCTTCAGGTCCCAAAGTCAAATGAACACTGCGGCATCACTGAGAGTTAAAAACTGTCTAAATTTTTCATCTTTACTAAAATGATCAGCGTTGCTGCTTTACCAAGTGTAACAATTAAGCTTAACATTCAGGCATGAAAACATAATTTATTAAATTAAACGGAGTTAGCAGGAAGTAGTTTCCACCTAAACATGATATAGCATGTTCTGACTGAGAGATTTCTGAAAGATTCAAACGTACAGCTCTGCTATCACTTCCAACATAAATGAAGACAGGAAACTAAACAGCAGTGACGTTTGTAGGGTTACTGAAGTTGGGCTAGCTGGTATATAATGATGTGCTATGTGATCGCTAGTGACACAGCTATGTTAGCATAGCATAAACAGTGAAGCTGGAGGATGAATGCTAACTTTTTTCCACTTGATAAAAGTTAACATGAGGGTTTCTTATGGTTAGGGACAAATGTAATCGCATGGCAGGATGCTGTAAACGGACCAAACTTCAGTCAGGAGAACAACTGAGATTATTCATCCACAATACGAGGTTAGCCATTAATTTACTGCAACAACATGGGAATAGAGCAGCTGCGTGAGAATTCAACATTAATGAATCAAAGGTACGGAAGTGGAGGAAGCAGGAAGAATGAGTTGAGTAAAGTTTGACTTATCTGACTGTTTTGTTTCGCTTAATGCGCCCGTGTACATTAATATTGATCAAATCAAATCTATTTATTTATATAGCACTTCACAGGATAAAAACCACAAAGTGCTTCACAGTAAAATCTCTTATGAAAAAAAAAAAAAAAAACCCGATTCCTTCTGTCATTATATCTAATACACTCTTAGTGAGAAAGCAGAAACAGAGTCAAAATGTAGCCAGTGACCTCAATGTGGACGAGATGGGCATTTTAACCACCACATCAAACCTGCTGCTTTGAGTTACACGATACTTTTTACTAGATCCTGATTTCTGTGTGGATGAACTGTTGCATAAATTAATATAATTAATGACATAAGAACATTTTAAAATATAGGTATGACAAACACAAATAGAGCCATTAAAAGTAAAGATTCATAGAT